AGGAGGACGATTAATATAATAAAAATAACTCTGTAAAGATAAACTATTTTCAAAAAGACTTATGTACTCAGATCAGCACAATGGTCAAATAAGATCACTGAGGACTTATGATGAGATGAGGTCGCAGTTCCTGAGAGAGGTGATAGACTCAGAACACAGACTGAGAGATTTTTCTTTTTTGGATATGACTGATACGATATGATATATACATACACATACATGTATGTATGTATGAGTACATATTATAGATATAATATGTATATATGTTATTACTCAGTTGTTTCAGTCTTGTCCAACTCTTTGTGACAAAGGGTTTTCTTAGAAAAGATACTAGAGTGGTGTGCCATTTCCTTCTCCAGCCCACTTTACAGAGAAAGAACTGCAGCAAACAGGGTTAAGTGAGTTGCCTGGGGTCACACAGCTAGTGAGTGTTTAAGGACAGATCTGAACTCAGGAAGATGAGTCTTCTTGACTTCAGGCCCGATACTCCATGTCCTATGCCACCTAGCTGATACATAAATATTTCATACACATGTACACATTACATATATAGATACATATATGTATACATATAAACATACATGCAACACTCACACACTTATATATATTGAAATAGCTATATCTATATCTTGACAATATTTGTTTGTAATAGGAATTTTTCTTTCAGTGTTGTATTTTGAAATGTGGAAGGGAGGCGAGCTGGACTTTCAGTGATTAAAAAAAATAATTAAGAACAATCTGACTTGCTTCCCTCCTTCTGAGTGCTTGTTGCTTTACTGGCAAAACATTGAGGTTGTCAGGCTTAAAGAAAAAGTTAAGATCTGAACCAAGACACTGCCTATGTGGATTATGAATTGGAGGAAGTAGGTCTAAACCAAGGTTCATGCGTGGATGGAAGTGAACTCACTCTTCGATCTAAAGGTTGTAGGATTATTAGATTTAAATACAGAAAAGATGTAAAAATACTCTAGTATTCTTCAACACTGTTAAGCTGTAGTCCCTGTGGTACAATGGATTTGCCTGTAGCAGAATGTGATATTAACTTCACGAAATATGCAAGACTCAAACATTTGACAAAATTTTCCTCTTTAAAAGAAGAGGTCAGTATTGTCAGAGTGACAATTGAGCATCTTTGAACTGCTTATCACTTCTCAGTTTGTGTTTGCTTTTGTGTGCCTTGCATGATAGGCTTACCAAGATTGGGTAAATGATTTAGCCTTTAAAAGGATGTTGGGGGAGAAGACAAGTTATAGCAGAGAGATAGGAGGAAAACAAACCCATCATGTACATATGCACTGAGACTAGTATGTTCATCTATGCTCTATTGGTGGTACCTCTCTTCTTCCATGTAATGTATAGAATATTTTCTAAAGTAAGTTCAGATGTATAATTAGTGTGTACTTTGGCAAAATTCAAGCAATACCTTGTTGACCAGGGAATTAATCTTTCTCATGAAGCCTAGGGGAAAAAAAAAACGAACAAAAAACAAACAAACAAAAATTGATTATCTAATAACTCTCATGGGGATGTGCTCTTCTGATTTTATGTACATTACTATAGAAAGAATTTTCCAGTATTTCTTTCCCTCATCAGAGAGTTTATACATCTCTTCCTGAGTCCACGGGAAAATATCCAAGAGTCAAAATTTCAATGTCTTCATATATCTTTGAAAGGGCTGCTATTTGTCTGCAACTGGTAGGTTGAATGACCAATGCTAATATACTGTGATTCCTATGTAATAACCATCCAATAAATTTTTATATACATTTGGCACCTGAATTGAAAAGATGTATTCTTTCCATTGAAGGGATTAATATGACAATTTTTCTGGGTCTCAGTTTCCTCATTTGTAAAACAAGTGGCTGGTACTAGATGGTCTCAGTGGTCTATGACTATGATTTTAAGAAATTAGAGTAATTTTTAGCTACTATCTGAGTGACTATTCCCAGTTTCTATTGAACTATAGATTTAAGAGAGTTGATAAGGTCAGCAATCATTTTCTTGTTTAAATAAGCAAATTTATGTTCAATTCTGCAAGCACTTATTAGACTCATTCTGTGTTCTTGACACCATCCCTGGAGTCAGGGGTACCAAGAAAGAAAATCATATAGACTGAAAGTGGAAAATGATATGGAATTACGTGGTGTAGAAGGGTTAACAACCAGAAAGGGCAGGGCTACTGTAAGCAATGACAATAATAATAGTGGCTATGTATATTGTGCTTTAAAGTTTGCTAAGAGTTTCACATGGAATAATTATTTGTTCCTTAAAATCCTGTGTAGTAGTCACTATAGCCATTATTATTCCCATTTTACACTTGCAAAAATAAAAAAAATGCTAAGTAACTCAACCATGGTCACTAAATTATTAAAAAGAGATAGAGGTTTAAGTTATTTTTTTTAATTGATGCTACTTATTGTGTTCTTTTTGCTCAGGCTGCATCTCATGTGCAAAAACAAATATGGTGTAAGTATAGATTGTATAACAGGATAAGGTTGAAGTACAGAAGAATAAAATATGATGCAGAGGAAATCACTTTTAGTCAGGTAGATCACAGTAAGCTTTATGGATGAAGTGTCATGGGAGCTGGTTTGAAAAGGCAGTGGTGATGAATGAGTATGATCTGCACATTGGAGATAGCCTGTGTAAATTCTGAGGGGCAGAAAAGAGGAAAATGAAATCAAGACAGTAATAGTTGTCCCTTTCGGCTACAATACATTACACATGATTTTAATGCCATGTTTTGAAGTTTGTATCTCATTCCACTTGCAATCAGAAGAAGCCAGAAGATGTTGAGCTATGGAATGGCTTGCCCAGTCCTAGTATTTAAGAAGATTATTTAGGCAAGTATGTGCAGACTGAATTGGAGATGGGAATGAGCAGAATAAATAACTTGGAAGTCAATTTAAATAGTCCATTTTTCTTTCTTTCAATTAAATTAACAAACATTTCTCAAGGGGAAAAGAGATGAGGGTCTGAAGTAAATTAGGAGCTGGGTGAAGAGGAGAAATTAAGATTCAAATGATAATTGGAAAGTAGAACCACTTGAAGTTTTCAAAGTATTGAACTGAGGCTGAGAGGAAGGAAAGTGAAGGAGTGGCACAGAAGTTTTTCATCTGGGTAGCTGAAGATATGACATGGGGAAAGTAATTGAGGAATGAGCACATACATGACACCTACACTGCTCTGGGCACTTCAGAAATATAATTTTATTTGATTCTCATAATAACCAGCATATAATTGAGAATCCTGCTGCAATCAGAGGTGAAATGACTTAACCATGGTGACACAGCTAGTAAGTGTCTGAGGCCAGATTTGAATGCAGTTCTTGACTCCATGCCCAGCTCTCTATCCACTGTGCCATTTAGCTGCCTCTTTACCAGCAATAAACTTAGGGATGTTTAGTGAAGGGTATATCTAGCATAGAAGATAACGTGAGCACCAGTACGGAGGAAAGCTATTCAGGAGATGAGGAAACAGAGAATCATTTTTCTTTGTGTTGTGGCCATGTACTTTGCCCTTTTCCTCTATTATAACATCTAATTCCTATAGGAAGGGGCTTTGTCACTTTTCATGTTTGCAACTGCACAATCGAATATAACAATAGAGCATATTAGTTGCTTATGTAATGTATTTTGACTTGATCTGAAACTCATCACCTTGAACAAGAAGACAAATGATAGAAATTGATACCTGACATGTCTTTGGACAAGCTGCATTTCAAATGCTTGGCAGATCATTTTGGTAGAGACAGGATATATGAAGAAAGACATTATCTGCATCCAGAGAAAGAACCAATAAAAAGAAGTATGCATAGAAAAATTATATGTATATACATATATATATATATTATAGACTGGTAGTTTCATGTGCAACCATCTTTTTCATTGTATTTTGTTATGGAAATGCTTCTTGTATTTCACAAAAGAAAAATAAAATTAAACAAAAAGAGCTTGTTTTCAGATAGAAATATGGAATCAGAGTTCAGAATAAAGATAGTGGGTGGATATATTGATTTGGTATGTAAATGCATAATGGTGATAACGGAAGCACTAGGAGACAATGGAGTTATCATTGGAGAGGGCACTGGAAAGTAAATCTGGAATAGGCTAACAACTGTACTCGAAATATTTTATTCCCTTTGCAATAGGAAACTACTGGAGTGCATTTAGCCAGGGTGACTTGATCACATTTCTTATTACTTAGAATTTTTTTTGTTAGCTGTGAGAAGAATAGATTAGATCTGGGAATGACTAATATCAATTACATACATTGGAAGACCTTTAAAATAATTCAATTCAGTTCGACAAATATTTATCCAAGTGAAAGTTAATGAGGGTTTGAATTAAGTTAAGTAGTTGTGTGAGTGGAGACCGATAAAAGGGATATTAGGAAGTTAGAACCAACAGAAATTTGTAAGTGATTAGATAAGGAGAGAGATTCCCAGGAAGTTAATTTAAGCACAATTCAAAGCCTGGGCCAACCAATCTCATAGCCACCATAAGCAAGTGTTGTGTTTAAAAAAATATAATACCTGAAATAAAGTTTACATCAGTCATACCCACAGACACATTTGCTGGGCATAATATTAATATTCTATTCAACAAAGATTTTTTTTGAAAACTTACTGTTTGTCTAGCACACTGCAGATAGTTGGAAATGGAAAGACAAGTAAATAGAAAGTGAAGGATCACTTATTAACACCTACAATGTGTCAGGCACTGGGCTATAGGCTTTACAATTTTCTTATTTAAGTCTAACAATATCCCTGAGAAAGGTTATATTATTTCCATTTTATTGCTGAAGAAATAGGTTTAGAGAGATCAAATGACCTGCACAAAGGTGTACCAAGGAATTCTCAGCATTCAATATCATCTGTTTTTGATATGTAATGTTCTTTGCCTATTTCCATATATTAAAGAATATTCACCTGAAATTATGACTTCTTTCATATTGTTTTCCTGCAGACAACTTCTTCATCCTTGATATATATCATTTAGATGGAGCTGAAGAACAATTCTATGCTAAATGAATTTGTTTTGTTAGGACTCACCAATTCTTGGGAGCTTGAAATTTTCTTTTTTGTGATCTTCCTCCTCGCCTACGTATCAATCTTGGCGGGAAACTGTCTCATTATACTTATGGTGACTCTTGATTCCCGCTTGCGCTCAATCCCCATGTATTTCCTCCTTGCCAACCTCTCCTTTCTTGATATAATTCTTTCTACTGTAACTCTCCCTAAGATGATCATAGACTTTTTCAGGGAGAGGAAAACTATCACTTTGTGGGGCTGTATGGCACAAATATTTCTGGCTCACCTCTTAGGAGGCAGTGAGATGATCCTTCTCATAGTGATGGCTGTTGACAGATATGTTGCAATATGTAAGCCCCTCTACTATACTACTATCATGAACCATCAAATTCTGGTAGGAAGTGTGCTGCTGTCATGGACAGTTGGCTTTGTGCACACTATGAGCCAAATGGCCTTTATGGTGAATCTGCCCTTCTGTGGCCCTAATGTGATTGATGATGTTTTTTGTGACCTTCCTCTGGTGTTGAAACTTGCCTGCACTGACACTTATGTCCTGGAACTGCTTGTTGTTGCTTTCAGTGGGCTGCTTTCCCTCATTTCCTTCATTCTTTTGCTTGTCTCCTATGCTGTTATATTAGTTACTGTCTGGCATTGCTCCTCTGGCGGACTCTCTAAAGCTCTGTCTACACTGTCTGCTCATATCACAGTGGTAACGCTTTTCTTTGGGTCACTAATCTTAATCTATGCTTGGCCAGTTAGTGGTTATTCATTAGACAAATTTCTTTCAGTGTTTTACTCAGTTATCACTCCTCTCCTGAATCCAATTATCTATAGCTTGAGGAATCAGGAGATGAAAGCAGCTATGATTCGATTTAGAAATAGGCACATCTGCTCCAAGCCAAATTTCTAAATGATGATGAAATTTTTATCATACATGAGAGCATAATTATTAAAATGATCAATTATATATATATATGTTTGTATGCATATTTTACAAATAAATATCAAGCTTATTTTCCAAACAATTAATAAATAATATTCTAGAAATTGTTTTGTTTGTTTTTCTGCTTTGTATGTCTTTGATTTTCCATTTATTTTGAGACCCTCATAACCGGAATTTAATTCAATCTTGGAATTATAAATTGGAGAAGACTTCAGAAAAGATCTGTGTAGAAAATCATCAGTTGAACTAGATTATTTCTATTTCTATTTGGTGCATCAATGTAATAGAAAAATATGTCACAAGAAACAATGAGTTTGATGAATGACCAGAAATATGGAAAGACTTAGACAAATTTCTTTCAGTGTTTTACTCATTTATCACTCCTCTCCTGAATCCAGTTATCTATAGCTTGAGGAATCAGGAGATGAAAGAAGCTATGATTCGACTCAGAAATCAGTACATCTGTTCCAAGCCAAATTTCCATTTTTTAGTACTGTGATCTTTTGCTAATATTTGAAACACCTAAGTTTCAGCTTGATAAACATTGGGGGAAAGGACTTGAAAAGTTGAGTGATTTAAAGACTCAATCCAAGAATGGAGTTTGCCCAATTCTCCATGAATGTCAAAACTGATTTCAGGTGCTGCAACCAAGGATACCTAAATCTCTTTACAAAGAATAACTGAGTAATAATTGTGGCATTGATTCATTTTATACAGTGTAGGGTATCGAGTTCATAAGGGCAGTTAAGTTTACCCCAACAAAGGGCAGGGATAGACCACTATGAGAGTGACATTGAGATAAGGCTTCATTGCACACAATTATAAGCACCTATTGACATAAAATACATACACATATATACACAAACACACTATTCTGAAAGAAACAAAAATACTAGGTAATTAAAAAACCATTGGAGCAGCTCTCAGGCCATCTTGAAGCAGCTCTCAACTCATATTGTTTCTATAGTGCATAATGTCACTATAGTCAACTGAGAAAGTGAAATCCAGTGTAAATGGTAATTTTGTGTGTAGAAAGTTAACAATAAGAGTTTTTATTCAACAAATCTTCATATTTTAAAATATGTTATTAATTTTTATGTTTTTACATTGCCTAGATATATCTCTGTATTCTAACCCTTATCCTTTCAGTCATTACTTAAAATGAGGAATTTTAAAAAAAGAAGAGGAAGAAGAGAAAAACATCATCAGATTGAAAAAATTCTGTTGTTATATATAGTGTTAAACTTAGGTCAAACCCCCCCCCACCCCTTCACTTCTGATTCCATTTAAAAGTGTGGAGAGATATGTCTTTGCCTATCTCTTCTTTGGGGCCAATCTTGTTTGTTTTTTTTTTTCGTTTTTTAAATTTCACAACATTCTTTTTTTTTATTTGGTGGTTATTGTTGTTTCCATTTATATTTATTGTTATTGTGGATATTATTTTCCTGACTCAGCATATTTCACTTTGCATCAATTTCTGAAAGTCTTTCCATATTTCTGGTGTATTCATCAAACTCATTGTTTCTTATGACATATTTTTCCATTACATTCATGCACCAAAATTCATTTGGCCATCCCCCAATCAATGTGCATATAACTTTGTTTACAATTCTTTACTATGTCAACAACAAAAAAAATACCACTATGAGTATTTTGGTATACATATATATGGAGTCTCTTTTTGGTCAATGCCATTCTAATAGTATATGCCTAGCTATGGAATCTCTGGATCACAGGGCATGGACATTTTAGTCACTTTGCACAGTTACAAAATTATTTCCATAATATTTACACTAATACACATTTCCACCATCAAGTCAATTCTTTATGCCCTTTGCTCAACACTGATGATCTGGAGTATGGTTAAAACAGTCACTATTCTTGAGTAACTCACTGAAAAAAGTGGAGGCAACTTACAAACAATTATGTATAAATACACTATATTAAGTATACATTGAAGATATTATGAGAAGGAAGGCATTAGCATTAATGGAGATCAGGAAAAGGTTTTTTTGAATGTTGAGTTTAAATGAGACTTGAAGGAAACCTGGGAAGCAAGGAGAGGGTGATGAGAAGGAAGAAAATTCCAAGAATGGGATATAGCCAGTGAAAATTCATGAAGTTTGGAAAAGGATTATCTTCTTCAAGGAGCAGCAAGGAGGCTAGCCTCATGGTATTACAGAGTACAAGAAGGGCAGTAGAGTTAGTTAATAGTCAATAAAGATGGTAAGTGCCTCCTACATGCTAGGCACTGTGATAAGCACTGGGGATACTCTCTAAAAGGCAAATGAAAGTCCCTGCTTTTAAAGAACCCCCAATCTAATGGGGAGACAACATACAAACAACTATGTACATGCAAGCTAACTACAGGATAAACTGGAAATGATTACCTGAGGAAAGTTACTAGAATTAAGAGACCTCCAAGAAAACTTCTTCTATCTAAAGGACAACATGCGTATGTGTGAATACATGCAAAATAGAATGAAAAGGAGGTGGTAATAGTCAGGGATATGAGATAAAAAAAAGTTTCATTTCTTAAAAAAAAAATTAAAAGTCTAAATTCCTTGCCACTTTCTGGGTATTTATTGCTCCACTGGAAATTCATTGATGTTGACTAGCTTGTAATGTTTATACTTGAGTAAAGATCCTGAATTTGGTCTTTCAAAAGATGTTGGGGAAGAAGACAAATAATGAAAGAGAGATAGGAAGGAGAGAAATCCATTAGGTACACATGCACTCAGAATGTTAATTGAAGCTCTATCAGTGGTCTTTCTGTTCTTGCATGTGATGCATAGAAGAATATTTTCTAAAGGAGGTTCAGATGCATAATTTCTGTTCTTAGGTAAAATCCACCAAATACCTTAGTGACCAGAGAACTAGTCTCTCTCATGTAGCTTAGGGGGAAAAAGTATGGTTCTTTAATAACTCCCAGGGGAATTTGCTCTTATGATTTTTAGTTCATTGTTACATAAAGGTTTTTCCTATAATTTTTTTTTCCTGCCTGACAGTGTATATAAGGCTCTCTTCCACAAGTGAGAGGAAAATAAGCAAGAGGATCAAAATCTGAATGTGTTCATATCATTTTGAGATCTTTGTCTAGAGCTGGTAGGTTGAATAATCGATGTAAATATATTAGGATTTCTGTGTAATAACCACCTAATAGATTTATATACAGATTTGGTGACTAAATAGAAAAAAATGCACTTTCCACTGAAGGGGTGAATATTATTTAACCTTCCCATACTTATTTCCTCATCAGTAAAACAAGAGAATGGCATTAGGTAGTTTCAGATGTCTATTCTAATTCTACTTCAATGATATGATTTTAAGAAGAATGAATTATTCTTGGTCAGCACCAGAGTGATTATTTGCAGGTATGATAAAAGCAGATCTGATGTGATTATCATTCATTTTCCTGATCCAGTCAGCAAATATCTATTCAGTTCTGCAAAGTATATATAAGCCTTATTCTATATAATTAGCCTCTTATTATCTTATTCTATCTTTATTAGCCTCTATTCTTTTCTAGTGTTCTTGACACTACCATTTGTCCTGGGGGCACAAAAAAAGGAAAATTATACAGACTATTCCTTGAAAAGACTTAACAATTGAATAGTGTAAGACTACTGGATGCAATAATAATAATGGCTGTTATTTATACTGTCTTTAGGTTTGTCAAGAATTTTAAGTGCAATGTTAATTTGATTTTTTTTACCATTACAACTATAATTATCCTCATTTTCAGACGCAAAAATGGAAACAGTTACATAACTTGACCATGGTCACTCAAACATTAGAAGTGCCAGAGGCAGCATTAAAATTTTTAACCACATTTTGTTCTCTTTCTACTCCAATATGCTGCCCTTCATGTGTACAAACATGGTACAAGTGGAGAAAATACAGGAGAATAAAATGTAAAGAGAGAGAAATCAAAGATTTGTATGGATAAAGCCAAACTTTGTAGAAGAAGTGTCATGGGAGCTTGTTTGAAAAGGCAGCAGTGATGAATGAGTATGATCAAGTATGGAAGATAGTATACAAATACTCAGAGACAGAAGAGGGCAAAATGAAATCAGTATAGAGATAACTATCCTTTTTAGCAACACTATAGTATACAAGAATGGCCTTTGATGTCATGTTTCAAAATTTGCAAAATATTCTACTTGTAACTAGAGGATATTTAGGGCATGAAACGATCTAACCAATCCTATCATTTATGAAGATTATTTTGTCAAGTGTATGAAGACTGGATTAGATACAGGAAACAGTAGAATAAATATCTTACATGTCTATTTAAATTGTCCATTTTTATTTCTTTTAATTAAATTAATAAACATTTCTAAAGGGGAAACGTGACGAAGGTCTGAATTAAGTTAAGAGCTAGGTTGAGAAGAGGAATTAAGATTGGAATAATAATAGAAACATGGAAGCACCTGGAATTTCCAAATGATTGAAATGAGGCTGGGGGAAGAGAGAGAAGGATAATGAAGGAAAGTAAAAATCAGTTTAGAGTTTTTCATTCTGGGTAGCTGAAGGTATAACATGGGGAAAAGAAATAGAGGAGTAATCATATATATATAGCACCAACTCTGTTCTACGCACTTTAGGAATATGACATTATTTAATCCTCACAATAATAAGTTAGATAGTGTTATTATCCCCATTGGATAGTTGAATATCCTGAGGCAAACAGAGGTGAAGTGACTAGAAAAAAAGTGCACTCAACTAATTCTGTCCACCTCAACAGAGGGAACACAGCTAGTAAGTGTCTGAGGCAAGACTTGAATGCAGATCCTCTTAACTCCATGCCCAGATCTCTATCCATTGTGCCATCTAGCTGTCTATTCATGGGCAATAAAAATGGGGAATTTTACTGAAAGATAGTTCAAGCATTAAAGATAACATGAGTTAAAGTATAGAGGCAAGCTATTCAGGAGGAGATCAGGAAATAGAGAATCATTCTTCTG